GAAATTATGAATTCCTTGCAGAACACCTGCAAAAGATGCTAATCTAAACTGACGATAAATACCATGGTATGCCATCAGTTTTATGTTGTTGTTGTCCGTTTATTTATAAATAACTGTATTATATTTCCCATAGTTTCACATACTGTTTATGTGGTTGCTGAATATCCGTCCGGCGGGGTGCATGACCCGATTGCTTGACATGATTCGAAAGTTCAATAAAAAGAACCTTTCAGGATTTTTGTGGTATACAGAGATCGGTATTTGTTTACTTAAGAGATCAGAGCCTAATGGATTGGTGTGGAAAGCAATGATGCCCTCAAAGTAGCTATTTGAACGATGATGCTGCGAACAAATCCAAGAAACGGACTGATTTTGTGTGCGCGTTCATGTATAAATAACGTATACTTCAGTCGGTTCTATGACAACGAACTCGTCCAAGCTTTTGACGCTGCCCGGGCGTCTGATGAGTTGGGTTTTAATTAACCACCGAGGTTCGCAGGAAGAAAAATTCTAATCTCGGTGTGTTTGTGAAAATCCGTAAACTCAAGTTTACTATTCCAGCACGTATTTTAAACTTGGCCAATCACATGGGGCCGCGGTGCCAGACATCGATGAAAACTATTAACGCAACAATTACAAAACATCCTGCTAAAGTTCGTTATTTCTAACAAAACTGGTGATAGCTAATAATTACACTCCATTAATCCCCCCCCCCATACACACACCTACGATAGCTCCAATTGTTCACTTAAGTCTTAGGGTCGGCAACCGCTCTTTTCAAAACATAGTGAGTTCGGACGAAGGCATTTCGTGTATTGTTAGTGAGTGAAGAAGAACTCGACAGAGGACTGACACTTAGTCATAGGCTTAATGAGAAGTTACATGTTCCGGTGTTTTGACAATCGGCTTCAAGTAGAAAGTTGAAACATAGCCAAATATGTCATCGATACTCATCGGGTTACCGAAGAAGCCGGAAGATAACAAAATGTAGCGCATAGGATCAGTTTTGCCCTATTCAATATTACGAACACAATTTTTAGCGAACAATTGTTTTCTATAACTCATAATCATCCCGTCACAGTTTATATGATGGGAAAAAATCTAGGGGTTGGGAGGAGAACAGCAAAATGCGAAGCACCGTTCACTTTGTGTGTGTGTTGCACACCGCATTCTCAGATCTGTGCGTCCGGGGTTTTCAGTTATGCCACCTGGATCGTGTGACTCAGTTCACACGGATAGGTGTTGTTGTGTGAAAATGTATGTGTGTGAGCAGGGGGAGGGGGTGGGTTCGCGAACCCAGGGGAGATGGAAAGTTTGGATAAGACGCTTCTAGGCGCATAGTTCGGGGCTCAAATGTTTAATCCATATGGCTACGGCTACGGCCAGCGCACGCATTCTAATATATTCCGACCGGTTGGCGGGATGGGGCATCTGATAAATACTACAGAATGCTGCGAACTGGATCAACTGCTAGAAAGGTTCAACTCCGCACACAAGGCCATACAACTTACAAAGGAGGTAGAAGTAGATGATCGTGATGCATCGTGTAAGCTGAAGAAGAACCTGATAAAATGTTTGGTATCTGGATCTCGGAGAATCTGTTCACAAGACGTATCGGAAAATGAACTCAAATTTATATCCAACGTGCTTAGAAGCAATAGCTACTCCGACCGCTTCATTCAACGAAACATGATGGAACAGGTACCAAAAGTACACACTGATAGGGTGGAGAAGAAGGACCTGTTCATTAATCTTCCTTTTAGGAGTGAAGTTGCCGCTGAAACCCTCATGAGACGACTTAATGTATCGGTAAAAGCCACATTCAACGCCGCGCACCTATGCTGCTCTTTCGAAAGCTTGCCACTGATAACCATACGGAATAAATACAAACTACCAATGTTGCCCACTTCAATGACTTTTTACTCTTTTAGATGCGTTTGTGAAGCCTCAACTCAGAGTTGCTTACAAGCTCGGGTTGGATGGAACGAGCTTGTAAGCGCCTCTGAGGTGAGGCGTCGCGTATTTGGTAATGATTCGATGGAGAATTCGTTGTCCCATCGAATTCAGATTAGTCGGCTTCGCTGGTTACGACACGTATTGCGCATGTCCAGCTATCGTCTGCCGCACCGCGCCTTATTCGCAGTTACGGCTCCAGGTTGGAAGAAACCGCGTGGTGGTCAACAGATGACGTGGAAACGAAGCATGAAGAAATGCACAGAGCGATTAGGTAGAATCGGTGTTTCCCGTCTTCCAGGTTGGGGTCCGAAAGACTCTAGAACTGGTTGGCTGGAGACATTAAAGGATATGGCGACTGACCGACAGCAGTGGCGCTCTTGTTGTCATTTCTTAACAAGGCAGAATGCTTGCAAAAGGTATGCATGAACACTTAGATTGTGTACTCTGTGTGTTGACCGTAGAGGTTCTTTTTCTTTGCCTCCCTCCAAGTAGGCCCAAACCCTCCTCATCTTTTGCTTTATCATTTGATTTGTGTACATTGTGAGCTTGGAAGCGATCAGTGAAGCTCGCTTCA